TTAGAGTTTTGTCAGATGCACTTCAATAAAACTGAAATTTTAAAAAGAAATACCCATTTTAAAAAAAAGGGGGGTAGAGACTGTCTACTTTACTGTCCTAGTTCCCCTGCCCTAAGGCTATGTTTTGCACATAGAAAGAATCTGAAAATTCACATTAGAAAAGTGTACATGTTTGGGTTCAAGTCCTAGCAATTCCACTCTCTGGCTCTAGGATATTAAGCCAGACTGCTTAACTTTTAACATGGTGCTTTCTTATCTGATACTTAAGATCATATCTCCCTGGCCTAACTCCCAGTTATCAGGAGCATCAGAAATTTCTGAAAATGTTTTGTAAACTGTTAATCATAAGAATTCCTAGGAAATCATAAGCCCCTCCCTGAACAACTGTGTGTATACAACAAGAACTAGTTTTCCCTCTTTTGCTAGACTTTTGAATTCCTGAAATAATTCTTCCCATCTCATGGTTATGATTAATGGTGTTTCAGTTTCCTGTGTAGCTGATTGTGTTCTTCAGAGAGCACCTGTTTGGTGCCAGAATGAGGAGTTTCAATCCTGATAAGAGCCAGGAGTTTCAATCCTGATAACATGCATGGAATTATATAATGAAGTGCTATATGGCCCTAGGTGTTTTGTTGTTTTGGGTGTTTGGGGGTTTTTTGTTTGTTTGTTTTGTTGGTGTTTTTTTTTTAAGATTTTATTTATTTATTTGACAGAGAGAGAGAGAGAGAGAGAGATCACAAGCAGGCAGGCAGAGAGAGAGGGGGAAGCAGGCTCCCCGCTGAGCAGAGAGCCCGATGCAAGGCTCAATCCCAGGACCTTGAGATCATGACCTGAGCCAAAGGCAGAGGCTTAACCCTCTGAGCCACCCTGGTGCCCCTGTTGTTTTGTGTGTGCGTGTGTGTTGTGTTTTTTTTTAAGATTTTATTTATTTATTTGAGAGAGAGAGAGAGAGAGAGCCCAAGCGGGAGGAAGTGGCAGAGGGAGCAGGAGAAGCAGACCCCCGACTGAGCAGAGAATCCGATGTGGGACTTGATCATGGGGATCATGACCTGGGCTAAAGGCAGACATTTAACTGACTGAGCCACCCAGGAACCCCAAGATCCTAGGTTTTAATCAGAAATTAAATCTACTGGGACACCTGGGTGGCTCAGTTGGTTAAGCGGCTCCCTTCAGCTCAGGTCATGATCCCAGCGTCCTGGTATCGAGTCCCACTTTGGGATCCTTGCTCGGCGGGGAGCCTGCTTCTCCCTCTGCCTCTGCCTGCCACTCTGTCTGCCTGTGCTCACTCTCTGACAAATAAATAAATAAAATCTTAAAAAAAAAAAAAAGAAATTGTATCTACTAATATTTGAAGCTAATCTATGTGATAAAAATTGTATTAGGTGATGTAAAGAATATGATAAACAAAATATTATGCACTCCCTAAACAGCTCTCTAGTTGAGAAGATATCATAAATAAGTAAAAACAATAAAAGTTCTAAAATACAAGAACAATTTAAACCTATAGATCAAACATATATTCAAAAGCAAAGTAGATCTACAGGGCTATAAGCTAGGAAAATGCCAGTGAGATGCTAGCAAACAGTGTTGAGGTGGCTGGGCGTTCCGGGCCAGGAGGGAAAATTAACGAACTACAGATTCCTATATTTAAATAAAAGCATATGGGTGAGGAGTAAACCAGTTTGGCTGCAATACTAGAATACCTGAAGATAAGGCCGGAATTTAGACTGGGAAAAAAATCTTGAAGGACCTTGGAGATCTGATTGTGGAGCTTTAGGAAAATAAATGAGGCCAAGAGGCATGTCTGAATCTTCAGTCAAGTACTTGCAAGCATAGAAAACATAAACATACTTCTCTGGGCCTCAGTTTCTTCATCTATGAAATGGGAATATTTGCTCAAGTGAAGAGATAATGTCCATGAGAGCCATTCTGTCAGTGGTAAAATGTTACAAATTTAGCAAAGTCCTTTTTAATCTCCCTACAACTGTCAGTGACTCCAAGATTCCAAATAATTCTTAGGAAAGATTGAGTTTGAGGCAGGGAGTACATGAGGAGAAGGGAGCTTGGGAGATTCAATTTAAGATCTTACAGCAGTAATCTTGATGTCAGGTGGCCATTCTAAACCAGGGGCACGTGGAGTGGAAACCAGAGAGGACAATAAAGAACAGTGCAAGGGATTGGGAGTAAGAAAACACTGAAAAGGACTTGAAGCTTTATCACTGTAAGAAAGGCAGTAAATTAAGCAAAAATGGAGGGAGATGTCCTGGTTTTATAGAAATTGGTATGTGTATTAAAATCTGACTAATTACAAGATCTGATGGCTGATGCCAGTGTATTGGTTGAGAATATTCTGGTGCAGACAGTAAGAACCAAAGTCTTCAGCCAACTGAATCAGATTATCGCTGAAGTAGGGGGGTACAAGGGAGAAGAGAAAAGGTAACATTATGGAGTAGCTCCTCCATAGGAATGCTGGCTCTTCACTTACCTCCACTTGTTTAATCCCCACATCAATCCGAAAGCATGTTTTCTGTATCCATTTGATAGGTGAAGAAACAGAGTTCAGAAAAGCCAGGTAACTTCTGAAGTTCAGCGCCTGTAGGGTGTAGGGAAAAGGCAGGGGGTGGCTCAAGGAAAACACCTCTTGTGGGTTCCTCTAGAAGGTGCTTCCTTGGCATAAAACCTACCTGGAATGTGAAAGGTCTGGATGTTCGCTTTTAGAGAGAGCCCCAGACTGGAAGCTGCACAGGAAAAAAAAACTAATTAAAACTAACTAAAAAAAACTAAAAAAAAAAAAAATAGTCTAAAACTAATCTGACCAACAAGTTAATAGAAGATAATCCTGATGTCGCAGAGCATCAACCTACCTCACTAACCAAGTGATCTCCAAGAATTCACTGACCCTAGTGACTGCAAACCACAGAGGACACATTTTTACGCTGCCCCATAGACACACAGGCACACGTATGGGTGCTACGCTGTGTTATATGCTCATATTTGTTACAATGGCCTAATCTAATACTTCCATTCTTTGCTCTTTGGGACCTATTAAACTGATTCAGTTGATAGTGATCCCAGTTTGGAAAACATTCCATTTCCTCATTTGAATGAAAAAGAGAAAACATCACTTCTCTGGATAAAAAAGTGGTGTAATTTTCCAAAGTGTGCTCTGTGGTGGCTCCATTGTTTCCTAGTGGCTTGGGAGGTTCTGAACATACTCTTTTCAAAAATCACTCAAAGTAATGTGTTAAAGGCTTTCAGTTCCTACAGCTAAGAAGCCCGTTTATTCCAAATTTATTTGACCACAGAGTCCTTTTTATTACATACCTATTTAAATAAGCGCTTGGGGAAATGCAGAGAAAAAATTACGTGAGCCCATTTTGAAAACTATACAACTATAAGCATTGTTGATATTATTAGCAGTCTGTTACCATCTCAGAGCAAACATTTCAGATTTTGAGATTCTCCGAGAATCTCAATGCAAGGGTCCTTTGGATTGTTTTGGTGCTGGGGAAAAAAGGTTCCTTCTATTTCATTTGCCTTTCCATTGACTACAGTATTATATGATTGCTATGGGGTCTGAAACACTTGAGACATTGAATTTCAGGATCTCACTGGCAGCTGAAAGGTTTGGGAGTTCTTTTGCTTAAAAGAAACATATGCCGCATGAGCAAAATATCATGGTTTTGAAAGAAATAACATTTGTGTTTCTTCTGTTGGCAAATATTCCTCAGTGCTGAGAAAGCAAACTGTCAAACTGTATAAAAAATCTGAGCTGCCAAAAGAAAAGCCAAACAAGACATGGCCCCCCCCCAAAAAAAAAAAAAGTATGTATTTTTTTAAAATTAAATTAATTAAATAAGTACTTGAACAAGTAAATTCTGCAGTCAGATAAAGAATATTTCAGTGCATAATCTTTTCCAGGTACTAAGGAAGCATGCCTATCCTCTGAATCTCTCAGATACTTAACAATCACTTGAGGGCCTAATTGCAAATTCACCGTCCGATCAGCTAACGCAGCAATCGGTTCATAGCCAACAAGGGCTCCCGGTAAGCCTCAGGATAAAAAGGAAGCCACGTCAAGGCCAAGCCCCATGTTCCTGGGGACAACCTCCTGCTTACTGGTCTAGCTCCATTTCTTACCTCTTCTCCTGTCCCATGTAATGCTTCAGCACTTACCTAGCATTGAAAAACATTGCCATTTACAGGATGCCTGGTGTGGTCTTCTGGAAATGATGTTGGATTTTAAGAGTAAGGAGAGGGCACCTGGGTGGCTCAGTCGGTTAAAGCCTCTGCCTTCAGCTCAGGTCATGATCTCAGGGTCCTGGGATCGAGCCCCGAATCGGGCTCTCTGCTCAGCGGAGAGCCTGCTTCCTCCTGTCTCTCTCTCTCTGCCTGCCTCTCTGCCTACATGTGATCTCTGTCTGTCAAATAAATAAATCTTCTAAAAAAAAAAAAAAAAGAGTAAGGGGAGCCATCTCCCAATTCAAGCCTTATTTCTCTACAACTCTACCACTTAGCCCCCACTGAGACTCAATTTCTTCATCTATACTAAAAGGATATTATTGATTGCCCATTCCACCTCCCGTACCCATGGTAAACATCACTAATAAATTTCTTGTTTCCATCAAGCCGAGATGAAGCTTTAGGATTCTTCTCAACAGCTTTCTGAGCAGCTAATCCCAAATGACTACAACAGGCTCAGGTAAATTTAGGATTAGGTGGTTGTTAGTGTTCTTTTCAGCTGTATTAAATAGTTCTAGATTGTTTTGATAATTGAGTTTGTTGTTGTTGTACTAGAATATCTGTACTAACACTGAATTTTTTATTGCTTTAGAGAGTAACACTCAAGGCTAAATCATACATAGGCATACACATCTAATAAGATAATAATAATTTAATATACATTTATCATAAAGTCACAATAAATTCAATTAATGTTGTAAAAGCTATGTATGCATGTTCAAACTTTAATCTGATTTGAGGTTTCATTTAATTTTCAGATGTGAAAATTCATCTCCAGACCACTGACTATGGCAACTTCTTGGCTAATGAAACAAATCCTCTTACTGTTTCTAAAATTGACACGGAGATGAGGAAAAAGCTATGCAGAGAATTTGAATATTTCCGGAATCATTCCCTGGAACCCCTGAGCACATTTTTTACGTACATGACGTAAGTGGTAGCAGGAAGCCCAATTAATCTCCTGCATGATTGTACAAATGACTCCTAACAGTTACAGGGAGGGCATTAGGCTGGCATGAAGCTTAAAACCCTTTTTCTTTTTTGTAAGTTTGAATACATTCAAATTTTCGCAACTAATAAACTCACAGAGCCTCATATTCACTGTTGGAAAAGAGATTTCATTCATTTATAAACATGATTATGTAGGTGATGGCAGCCTCCATCATAAAGGCATGGTTTCAGGGCTGTCTGGCTGGCTTGGTCAGTAGAGCATGCAACTCTTGGTCTCAGGGTCATGAGTTCAAGCTCCACACTGGGCCTAAAGATTAGTTAAAAAAAAAAAAAAAGTGCTTTTAGTTTTCATTTTAAGAAAAAATGGTAAGTGTGCTATTTAAAGGTTCTGCCTGCTGATACTGAAAGTAAATACTATGTGACATTTTGGATCAATTGTCAGGCTAGAGCTGAAACATCAAAGTTGTTTGTAAAGCCATATCTACCCTTTCCTGATTCCCTTGCAACAGCAGAAGTAACTCCCATCATAGTTATATATGTTTTATTTTTTTCGCTTTCCATAACCAGTAGTTTCAATCTCTCACTGTCAAGGATTTTCATTCTAAAAATGCTTGAATTTTCACACAGTAATGCATTGTACTTCTATTAATCCAGTTAATAAATCCTGTCCAGGGCTCAAAACTTTGGGCCTCTCCAGTTGTTCTAATAGATAAGCTGGGAACAAATGTCCACAGTAGAGGAGCTGATGATTATATATATACCATTCCAATGTAATATACACAGATATGTATACTAGACCTGGGCCCTAGACTGGATTAGAAAAGTATAAAATAAAAATATTCCTCTATTCCACATGTCCCCTTCTTCTGCACTTGATTCCTTTCCCCAAAAGTAAATGCTTCCATTTCATATGTATTTTCTAGTAAAATATTTACAGTTGAGTATGTTCATTGATACTCACTCAACCCACCCCACTTCCATACTTCAGATTTATGCAAATGGGGTCATATTCTTTCCACACTTTTCCCACCTAGTACTTCTTAGAAATATCCTTGTCAACATCTTTCTTTTTACAACTGCCTAGAATTCCATTTTGATATATATCATGACTCAATTTACCAGGAATCTATTAACAAATAACTAATTTTTTTTCCAATGCAAAAAGTTTTGCAACTAGCCTATTACTGTGTAGGTCTTGAATTTATTTTTAAGATATGTTTTTAGCAGTGGAAGTAGTGAATTGAAGGAGTGTTCTTTTTTTATTTTTGCAAATTTTGCTAAGTTGTACTCAACAAAAGTAGCACCAGTTCGTACCCCCAAAACAGTGCATGAGAAAGCCTGTGTCCTTACACCATTACCAACATTGAATATTATCTTTTTAGTTTTTGCCTGTCCAGTATGTTAAAAATTGTATCTTTTGCTTTCATTTATATTTCTTTATTATGAAAATCGAATAATTTTGTAGTTACTAATCATGTGTATTTGCTACCTGACCAAACACTTTGTCTTTTTGTTATTGATATATTCAGCAGTTTTTCTTGGTATGGAAGAGCTCTTTGTAAATTAAGAAAGTTAGCCCTTCATAATATAGGTTGAAAAATTATTTCCTCAGTGTGATATGATTTAATTTTTATAGCTTCTTTTTTCTGTAGAAACATTGAATTTTTTCACTAGCTATACCCATCAGTCCTTTCATTTGTTGACTTCTGATTGTTGTGTCCTGCTTAGAAAGTCCTTCTCCACCCCCAATTTGTAGGTAAATTTACCTTTTATTTCATTCATTCATTATTGTTGATTTTTTTTCTTTTCTTTTCTTTCTTTTTTTTTTCTTTTTGATGTTTCATTTTTAACATTTAAAACCTTTGTTCATCTAGAATTTATTTTAGTATAGGGAATGAGACTAGGGATTCAGCTCAAATTGTTTTTCCCCAATAGCTATCCATTTATTCCTATACCATGTCTATAAATAAGTAAGTAGAAGAGATGACCATAGTTTGAGGCAGGAAGTAATCATTGGTATACCTGAGGTATGTGATTAATGCCTATATACCTTGTCTGTGTAATTAGACCTCCTGTCAGTGCTAGAGGCTAAGTTTTTATTTATTGGCAAGACCCCAGGTGCTGATTTTTTAAAGAATCACAAATACACAGTTGGTTAGAGATGAAAATTAGGTGTGAATTTGGGTCTACTCGGTTTGAAGCCCAGGCACTTTCTTTGGGAAGGATTCTGGGAAGCCTTCCAAAGATCTGACATTGCTTTTGATCCTGGAAATAGGGTGGAATTTGGATATGAGGGAGAAGGCTGAGCATCTGGGGTTGAAGCATGTAGATGGGAAGGACACAGCATGCATGGTGAATAACAGGTCAGTTTGGGCAGGAGTGGGCTGTGCTGGAAGTGGAGGGGAGCAACAGGGAGAGGAGGTTAGAAAAGTCAGTTCCAGCTAGATAATGCAAGTCTTCAGTGGCGGCTAAGGAAACTGGGCTCCATCACATTGGAGAGGTATGTGTGTGTGTGTGTGTGTGTGTGTGTGTGTGTGTGTGTGTGTTGGTATCTCCAAGACCCTTCCTTAAAAATCTGAAGGGGTGCCTGGCTGGCACAGTCAGTAGAGATTGTGACTCCTGATCTTGGGTTCATGAGTTCAATCCCCATGTTAGGTGTGGAGCCTACTTAAAAAATAGTTTCATACAGACATACATACATACATACATACATACATACATACAACTGAAGCAGAAACCCAAAATGCAAAAGAGACAAAAGAAGAGGCCAGGTCTGCTCATAGGACTCTTACCTCCTCGTAATGGTTGGGGTGAAGAACAAAGTGCTTGGGCTTAGGCTGAGTCAGCTCCGGGTTCATATCCAATCTTCAGTGACTGCCTGGAGAGGGGCTTTCGAAGCAGCGATGCCTCCAGCAAAAATGTCTGACAAGGGTAGTTATGGAGACATCATTAAAGATTCTTCAGACAGGCAAGAGGGCCCTATCTGTGTGGAGGGAGAAATGACAATCAAAATACTGGACAATATTTATGGAATATTACTACATGCCAAGGCTCTGCTAGTGCTTTGCAAACATTGTCTCCTTCAAAGCTGACAAATCAGGGCACCTGGGTGGCTGTCATTAAGTGCTGCCTTTGGCTCAGGTCATGGTCCTCGGGTCCTTGGATGGAACTGGATCAGTTCAAGTGGATTGAAGTGGATCAGGCTCCCTACTCAGTGGGAGGCCTGCTTGTGTTTCCTCTCTTGCACTCTGTCAATAAGTAAATAAAATCTTTAAAAAAATAATAATAAATCTGATAAATCTTAGTTCTTATCCTCACCATTTTGAGGATGAGGAAACTAAAAGTTAATTGCAGCAGCTTGCCTGGGTCATGAATCAACAGATTAAAAAAAATATTTTATTTTAAAATAAAAATAAAATGAACGTCAGAAATAGGCTTTGTAAACATCTTTTGCTCAGATTTTAGAGTTCAGAAAATCTAACCCGTGATAGTAACAGAGGACAGTCCAATTTTAATGGAGTCAGAAAGCTGCCACATTTTGTACTTTTTGCATTGAGAGACGAGTCTCACATGACAGAAACTTGCTCAAAATGTATTAGGAAGTACTTTAGCTCTAAGAATGACTCTGAGTCACTTGGTTAGTGTTTCCTCTTATGTGATGACTCCATGGTTTAGTGTTTCCTAACTATAGAATCTTAAACCTGGGAGAAGCCTTAGCATTAATTAAGCAAGCTTGCTTATTTCACAGAAAACAACCATGTTGATCCAGGTAAAATGTATTCTGTTTCTAGGGGCACTTTGGTGGCTTAGTCAGTTAAGCGTCCAACTCTTGATCTCAGTTCTTGATCTCAGGTCGTGAGTTCAAGCCCCATGTTGGACTCCACTTAGAGAAAATAAATAAATAAAATTTTAAAAAGGAAAATCTACTGTTTCTAAAATAAAATTACTTGGGGTGCCTGGGTGGCTCAGTTGGTTGAGCAACTGCCTTCGTCTCAGGTCATGATCCTGGAGTTCCTGGATGGAGTCCCACATCAGGCTCCCTGCTGAGCAGGGAGTCTGCTTCTCCTGCTGACCTCTCTCCTCATGCTCTCTCTCTCATTAATAAATAAACTCTTTAAAAAATAAAATAAAATTACTTAAAATTCCAAATATTAACAATGTTTAAAAATTACATATAAGAATACAGGTGGTCACAAAGCCCTGCATAGAATATTAATGCAAAATTGAAAGTGGAAATGTAATTTGGGTGGTATCAGTATTGATAGTGGTATTGGTAATGGACATGTTTTGACTTATCTACTCTCTCTCTCTCTCTCTCTCTCATCTATAAATTCTTTGAACTAGTTCTTTTAGTATTTGATTTTGTACTTACTAGTATGTAATGGGCACTGAATATTTGTTGCATTAGTATATAATCCCATATTTAGCCGCATCTTACACAGAGCTAGAAAATATTTGCAGACTACTCGGAATTTTATATTTTATATACCACTTGAATATTGGATATTTATTGGCCAATATGTTAGGAGTAAAAACCAGATATCATGCCTGCAGATACATTTTGAATAACAAGGTCAGTGTTTAAAGTAATTTAAAAAATGTATTTAGTTGAGCTTGCATTCTTCAATTAACCACAGTCTCTAACAGTTCTGTCTTTTGTCTTATGATCATCTTTTCTATCTTGTGTCTTATGATCTTAGGTTACTTATCAGATCCCTGAAGATACTTACTCTCACTTAAATGTTTTATTTACATCTCCACTCAAGAACTCTGCAAAGAAGGTGTTTATATCTCCATTTTTTTAAGTTAGAGAAACTGAGGGTCAATGAATTAATGAATTTTCTTCTCTTTTTCTTTTTTAAGACTTTATTTATTTAACAGAGAGAAAGAGATCACAAGCAGAGGGAGTGTCAGAGGGAGAGGGAGAAGCAGGGGGAGCATCAGCAGGGAGCCTGATGCTGGACCCTGGAATCACAACC